CGGGGGATCGTCTGTGGGGATGTATATCTGTGTCGCTCCTGGGCCCACGCACTCATCGTAGCTGAAAGAAAAACAGATTTTTCATTAGATTGGTGTCATGTGAATTTTCGACCTAACAGGAGCAGGTATGGTGAGAATTACCAGCCGCATCCTCATGCCGCTACACAGGACGGGTAATACCCAAAAGCCTCAAGCCAGTCCCGGGAGGTTTAGCAAAAGTCCAAACGCATCCTCCTGCAGGAAGGCCTCGGGATGAGCAGCCGGCCGAGGCCTCGGGATGAGCCCTGCTCCTTCCCGACGGCTACGTGGGAGCCGCAGGAGCGACGCCAGCGGCTCGGGAAGGATCGCTGATGAGCTGAGGTAGCCCAGCGTGTCTCACAGCACTGATGATGTCCAGGCTGGGCCGTTATTTGGCTACACTGGAGTCTCACCTGTTTGCCCAGAAAAGGGAGCTTGATCCACTTCTGCTCTGAAACCAGCTCAGGGCTCGTGGGCTGGGGGAATATCCTGTTTTCCCAGCTTTCTGGCTCTGCAGAGTGGGGAAGAGGCACAGTGCTGTGTTCTTAAATGTTGGGCCTGCTTTGTTTGAGGCTACCCTGCTTGGATGTTTTGGGGTCACTTTTAATCTGACTCCTAGGTGGAAATATTTCCTGTAAAAACCTTATCTTGTTCAGCTGAGCTGAAAAACATCTCTGCTGGAGCCAGGCATATTATGAACCCATTTCCTCAACCACAGTAGCTGCTGAGTGATTAAGATCTAGGACGTTTCCTGAAACGTAGCATATTTAGCATCCATCTTCCCTGCAGGCAGCCGGCGCTCCTTCTGCCCCGGTAATTGCATTACTGCCATGCTAAACCTCAACTAATCAGCCCTGCTCTAGATTGCGCGTGGCTTGTGGGCTCACCCCGCTGACGGGGCTGCTCTGCCACATCCACTGCAATCAGCCAGACCCTGCCGAAGAAAACAGTGGTTCTGCTGCTCTCCTTCGTACCTTAACCTCAACAGGAGCACCTGGAGCACAGGAGCACCTAGGAGAATACCGAAAAACACAACTCTGTTTTGAACTGTTCAGAAACATATCCCAGCAGGTAGAAGGTGTTGTTTTTGTGTAGGATGTGGAAAGGTTCTCAGCCCAGTTGCTACTAAAGCCACTGCAGCTCTCCAGTGTTCCTGCTGCTCTGTTCAGTGATCCCAGACCTCAGCTGAAGACCAGGGAAGTGATGCTCCAAGCTCAGCCGTACGTGAAGTCAATGAGGGCAAAGGAAGAGCAGGAAACCTTGCAGGGTTGCTTACTCTGAGCTGTATCTCCACTTAGTTCACGTTTTTTTTAGGATCATCTCTACTTAGTTGACTTTCTTTAGGATAATTGCTGACACGAAGCCCAGTCTTTCTTCATGTAAACATATATATAGATTTATGATCAATAGGAATAAAATAAAACACCTCTCTTTCTCTGAAATCTAAGGCAAGTAATGCCTATCCCTCCCCATGATCTTGGCAATTAGGGTCACACCAAAAAAAAAAAAACCCACCCTTCAAATAGAGCAGTAAGGAACCCATGCCAAATTTTCAATTAGCTTCTTGGCACCTTCACAGCTGTACCTACAGATCGTTATGGCCAAGGAGACAACTGTAAATCATTCCAGCAGTGTGCTGCTAAAGTTACTGTGTTTCATTTGCCGTTTGTGATCTTGGTACTCAGTTTTCCATGTTCTTGGTTAAGCTTGGTACCTTTGCTCCTAGCACTGAAGGAGGGATATAGCAGTTTACAAATGCTACTGGCAGAGGCTACAGCCAAGGTTCTCGGTGTTTTGCGTTGCTGAGGATGGAATGAAGCTGAATTAAGGCTGAATGTGCAATTTTAGCTTTTTTAGCTTTGTATTTTTCCCAGTTTGCTGCCTTTTTTTTTCTCCTCCTTCTAATGACCTTGTTAGTTTGGTTATGCTTTCACAGGACTTAGAATGATATTCCTGTAATATAACTAATGAGTTATCAGTGCTGCAAGCTTGAGTCTTTTCTCCTGCAAAGTCTATAATATGCGAGCTTGTGGATCTAGTCCTTACCACATCTTTTTTTTTTATTAGAGCATTTTAAGCAAGTATTTTAATAAGTAATACACAATTGCAAAGGTACCTACTATTATGTATGTTAGAGGCTGGGGAAATCTCTTTCATGAGATTTAAAGGACTATTCATTTTTTTTTTAAAAGTAATAGGGATCACTTCTTGCAGCTGATTATCATGTACTGATGATGTCAGTGATGCTGGACCAAGTCCTCGGTGGGATCTTTTAAAATAAAGTTTCATGTTTGGGGAGAAGAGGCATATTCCTGCAGAAAAGTGAGTAGAATGAAGAGAGCAACCTGGAGCAGAGTAACGGGGCGGCCTCTCCAACGGGGCGGCGCTGAGTTTGGGCACCCTGGGAGGTGCTGGCACGCTGTGCCGCGCGGTGCCGCGGGCCGTCGCGCGGAGGCTGGCGTCTGTAAGCACAAATAACACCTCGCCTGCTCCCTCCGGAAGCAAATGAGTTTTCTGATCTCTAGCAGCTCAATTCTAGGGAGGAGGGCTGCTGCAGCTCACAGATTTGGGTTTGTTTAATGCCTTAGAGACAAAGACTGACCTTTAAAAATAAGCTTGATACCTAACAGTATCTCTTTCAAGTTTGTTATGTGTTACCTAGGTGTGATATGAGTCACTTGCAATATGCGTTCCTGTCTTGGACCGTGTACTAGGAGGTTTTGAGGGTGGCTGGTATGTTTTGTGGCAGCCTGCTTTAAAATACTGGTTTGAGGCAGAAGCTGCTAATGGGAGGGTGGAGGAAACTTTGGGAGTGGCTGAATGGAGAGAGAGATGGAAGTGTTGTCTGGTTGTGCATGATAGATTCTGTGTGTATGTTCTTTAATGCAATGGAGTATAAAGAAAACACTCATTATTTTGGAATAGAAAAGATTTGTATAGCGCCAAAAGAACTGATAGTCTTGGGTAAACTTTGGAAGAAATGCTACTGTTGTTTCTGCTGTGTGTAGTAATGGCTGCAATTAAAAAGAACTAGCGCATTGGTAATGACGATTCTTAATACTAAAATTTTCGTGTTATCACAATTTAGGCTCATTTTAGCGGAGTAGCTGGCACTCCTGCCCCCAAAAGGGCAGCGTCCCCTGTCCTGTCACCTGCCACCTTGTCCCTCGCTGGCCCTCCCTCCTCACAGCCGTGACCCCCTGTCTGCCCCGAACCAACAAGACTCGGACACGACGTCTCAGCCATGTCATAGAAGTGACCGCTCAGGAACAGCGAGGCAGCAGCACCTGTGTGTGTGTGTGTGTTCTGCAGCTGAAAACGCAGGAGCACGGAGGTTGTATGGCTTTGGAATGCAAAAATTCTTTTTAATATCTTGCAAAAGATGTATCCAGTGATAGTGTTATGCTTTGTCTGAGATTAAATTTTGTGGTGTTATTGTGCGTGTAAAAAGTAGCCAGTGTTCAGTTCAGTGGTTATGGGGAAAAGCCTTCTAGCCAAAAAAAAAAAAAAAAAAATCTTTTGGAAAGTGTTATGCTACTGCAGCATAATAATGGACTGCAGGAATGTGTTGCACTGCACCTCATGAATACCATGCATCTCTCTCCATCCTTGCAATAAGAAAACTCAGTTTCTTTTATTTCCTGGCTCCTTGCTGAATCCACTTTAATTGATCTTTCTCTTAATTGTAACCTCTCAGGGTTCGCTGCGTTTTGCAGGCGCTCGAGCTGCTGCCTGCGCCGCTTTGTCTCGCGTCTTGCCCGAGTAACTTGGTTGTCGCTGCAGCCTACACGAGGCTGCTGCCGAGGAGGGATCCTGCCAGGAGAGGGGAGGAGGATTCCTGTCTGTAACACCAGCTCAGCAAATGTAAATGTGACCCACAAAGAGAAGAATAATGCTTAAAAAAATACAGCGAATTTTCAGTCTGACCTGGTTGATTCAGAATGTAGCGACTGCTTGAGGGAGGAGGAGAATAACTTCATGAATTTGTCAGGTCTCATTGCAGTGAGTATTAGGATAGGTTTGTTGCTAAGGAGACACGAAGGAGCTTATTTAACTAGCTGTCATTCATAAATTATGGCTCACTCAGGAGAGAAGCAGGTTCTGCTTACAGGATTTTTAAAGCAGCAAACAATAGCTAGCGAAAAAAAAAAACAAGTCTGGGGGCTGAGTTGTTCTTTGGGAATAGATGTTGTCTTGTTTACTTTGTTCATCTGTTACATGTTGTGATGCTACAGAAATTCTCTTCTCTATTTTGCTGATGACCTACTATCTTCCTTTATAAAAGTAAGCAGAATTGCTAATCTTTTCCTGGAAAATACGTGTGTTTACAGGTTTAAACTATGACTAAAAACAGCGTAGAGGATGTTGCCTAATAAAACTGAGACTGGAACAAATATCCTGTGACTCTAAAAGGAGAATCAAAGGAAAAACTAAACTGATGTGGTGGGTGACAACATAACTAGTTTGGCTAATGCTGCGTATGTCTGATCTCACAGTATATAAATGGTAGGGTTTGAAGAACAGCAGCTTGGACATCTATGCAAGTGGTTCCTCTGGGATTTTTTTTTTTGCCTTAAATTGTATACATACTTTAGTTATATGTAGTAACCATGACAAAATCTTATTATTTATAACAGAATTGCTCTTGCTGACTTAGTGACTTGTGTCAGGAGGCAGGATATATTTCTGTGTTTATTTCTGATAGGGACAGCTTTTGTTTGAGATGCTGTTTTTGCACATTTTGTTGCTGATTTAGTAAGCATTAGTTTAATATTTTCATATAGTGGCAATCCATTCTGTGTTGAAATATTTTGGAATCATGGGTTTCTGCAACTGCAACTGGAGATGTTGCCCTACTGGGAAAGTAACCAATTTTGAGGACTAGTTATGTAAGTTATAACATACATCAATTCTGACCCTCAGTTATGCGCATAGTTCTTGAACACTGACTTGTAAACAAGTATTAGAAAGTCAAAACGTCTCTTTTTTTTTTCTAATCAAAATAATCACCCCCAATCCCCCAAACTGTTGTTTGATGGCAAAAAACTTTGTGGGTTAGCCTCACAACATGAAGACGGAATTGAGATGATTTTTTTGACTAAAAATACCGCAATTGAGCAGATAGATAGAAAGGCTTGGACATTTGAGAAGAAGGGAAATGGCACAAAAGCTCTCAGAAAATGTCTGTAAACACATTTAAGCTGGAAATGAGAAGAATGCCGTAGTAATTAGAAATTGGTTCCGTTCTCATGTATTATGGAACTAATATAATGGGGCCCAAAGATCCTTGCAGATTTCATTATGGCATTAAATAACTTTCTGTTGTTGATTATGGGAGGTTTGCTTGCGGCAGGGGCTGAGCCTGCGGGCAGCAGCAGCCCCACGTGCCTTCCAGCTCTCCATCCGTGACTTCCAGCTGTCCCTCAGCCCTGACCCCAGGGACCTTCCTGGTCACAGAGCGGAGGCAGCTCGAGGACGCCCTTCCGTGCCGCACAGAGGAGCGGAAGGAGCTGCTGCGCCTCCGGTGGCATCCGCAGCATCTGAGGACCTCCTAGGGAAGGATTCCGTTTCCATGCACACCGAGACATCTGGAATGGTTGTCTATAGGGACTTGTTGGGATCTCACTTGCAGACTCTGACCTCTCAAGGGATGGTTTAATGTTTGACATCAAGACAATATCCCTGTGCCCATCAGAGGGGCTGTTAGATGTGGGAGTTCGGAGGAAAAAAATCCCTTCACAGAAAGTAGCAATCAGCTAATCAAAAATTAACATCTAATATTAATTAGCAATGCTCTGAGGATGTGAAAGGGAGGGCTATGAGGACCGACTGTGCTCGGGTATTATCAGTGCTAGGATTCATCAAGCCTGAGCAATATGATTATCTCTAGAAATGATCTTATTTAGATCAGGTAAGATGTCCGGATGAGGAATAGTGAGCATGTTTTTAAGGAGGAAAAAAAGAAAGGTGTGTGAATACTGGGCTAATGGGTAACAAACAGGTTTTCATCATAGTGAACCCCACAGGACACATTTCAATGTGAAATATGGGGAGAATTTGTGCGGCCTCCATTAAAACTGTTCCTCAAGCTAAATCCCGTCATCTCTTAAGAGTCCCTGCTGGGTGATGTTACTGTATGAGACAGTCGTGACTCATAGATGAACAAGGCGATAACCTTGGCTGCCTAAAGCGCCCTACGTGCCATTAATATCCCATCAGCAAGGAGCAAAAAAGCACTTAGTCAAGTAGGGTGAAATGGATTTCCTCTGGCCAAAAGGTGAAAAGTCGGTAAAACGCCTTTCATGCAAGAATCCTCAAAACTCTCTCCTCATTTTTTTAAAAAATGCAGTTCTAAATTTACTAGGTCCTTGATCAATACTGTACATTCAGCCATTAAAAAAGCATATAAACTCCAATTATTTTTGAAGTGTGTATTAGTGGCATTGTACTTCTTGCCAAAATTACTCCAGAAAGTGTGTGTGTGTGTATATATTTAAGTAAAAACAATATACTCGGTGCTCATCTCTGCAGCGTGCGGTGACGTGAGGGGGCTGCTCGGCGCTGCGGCACGGAGCCGGCGCTGCCGCGCTTGCCTGGGGCAGCTACTTGTGACTCGGTGATTTCTTTCCCTTCAAACATGTGTCGAGAGGTATGGGCTAAAGCAAGAGCTTCCCTTGCTGCTCCACACTCTGGTTGTTCCTATTTTGCAGTCATGCTGTTGGCTTTTGCGGGTGTTTGGATTAGTTTTAAATTATCTCTTCTGCTGTATGAATTAGGAAGGATTCCATTAATTTGGCCAGTGCTGCATTTCACTAAACATTTGAAAATGTTATAATATGTAACAAGATTGATCCCAGTAGCACTAATATTTTAAACACACAAGGTCAAAGACATCTTCCTGCCACCTGCTTTCAGCCCAAGCAATCTCCACATTCCTGTTTTTTTCATGCTGTACTAACTAGCAAATACACATTTTAATAATGTGCTGTGGAGGATAGTGTGGAGGTAGCTACACATAAATATATCAGGCTCTTACATAAGACTCAAAATATCCATGTAAGGCTTTTTCATCAGTGCTTTTGTGAACAGAAAGTTACAAAAGAATGTATAATGTATTAATAGTGAGTTGAAAAGTCTCTACATAACTTTGTTTTCTGCCATCTGCTATGCTCTACTTTTCCTGAAGTTCTCTCCAAATTGTGTAGCATTTAATAAGATTTTGATGATTTGCCCAAACTATTTATTTTTTCCTAAAATACTTCAGTAGAAGGGAGGAGAAAAAAATCTAAATCAATAACAATAGCAAGCTGCATTAGCTTTTGCAGAATTGCAAACAGTGGGGTGAGCAGTGTGTCCTTGTCCGTGCAGAGCCAGGTCTGAGGGCTGCAGCTCCCGTGGCTTTGGGTCCTGGCGGGCAGTGCTTGGGCACCTTTATGGTGCTCTCAGGCTGGGCTGTCAATGTCCCCAGATATTTCCTTAGGCCAATGTGGGACCTGCTTGCGGCTATGAATTTGTGCCAAGCTTCTCATAGGGGTAGCTGGAGGATTCATGGGGAAACATCCCCATGAGTGCAGTCCTGTATCACTTCCATAGCCCGTTCCAAACAGAAAGCAGAGGTAAGAAGCCTGTTCTGGGGCTGTTTTGTACTGAAAATGGAAGGAATCTTCTGTATAAGCTTGTAAGGTCTGTCTGCTAAAGGAATTTGTTCTCCGAGCTTGTTCTCGGGATCTGGCCAGCTGCCCACGCAAGTTGTTGCTTGGGTGTCAGCTGGTTTACTTTTATTAGTAAAGGCTTGTAGGTGTGGGACCAAAACGGGTGTAAATTTGAAAGTGGATTTATATGAGATTTTACAGGGTAGATGCCAGGCTCAGAACAATTTTTCACATGTGAGCTTTTTGCTGAAACACTTGCACCAGCTCTAAAAGGCAGCTGATTACCTGGTGTTGCTTTGTGTGATAATAGTTCATCAATAAGCTGTACATAGAGGCTGATTGTTCAACATGAACTATAGAACACAAAAAAAGAGCTCTATATTCCACGTTCAGACATGGGCTTTTGCAGAGCTCTCATTAAGGCCAGATTTCTGGTTTCTCCACTTAATGCAATATCCCTTAGGCAGAATGGTTCCCTTTCTATCTTAAGGAATCTCATGAACAGAAGAAATTCTCAAGGAATTGATTAAAAGCTGGAGGCTGCTCTGTGTTGTGAAAGCAGCTCTGCAAGCTTTTCCGAGTTAGGCAAAGCTAATTCAGAATAATTTGACTGAAGCAAAGTCTGTAATGGAAATGTACCTAGGTAATTTTACTTGTGTATTTTAATGTCATCTTATAAGTATTAACATTAATGAGACTGTTAGTAAATGATAAGTAACTGTACGAGTCTTTAATAAGGTTATACTTTGCTTAGTTCAAGTATAAGTTTTCCTTAGCAAAGTTCATTTCTATTTAGCTTGATCTGCACTTCTGTGGTGGCTGCAGGCCTAGCAGTTTTATTTTCCTCTTCAAGAGGCTTTGCAAGTGTAGGGCTGCAACGCTGAGTGTCTCAGCAGGGCTTACCAGGGAGGTGAATCAGGATACATGACGCTGACCCGAGAAAGTGTCTCCAGATAGGAACCGAACTCGAAAATTGGTGGGAACTCCTCCATGCATGTGGATCTCAGCTCTCCAAAAGAGCCACCATGGGAGAAGCCATCTGGAGCTGGAAAACAGGCAATAGAGAGACCCTCTTTTATTTCCTCCTCTATGATGGATTCTTTGAGTCAGTATTATTGTTTACAGTTCTGCCTTAAGTCAGAATATAAACCTCCTGAGGCAGAGGCATTCCATCTCCAGGTCTTGTAAGACATTTTATTCCTTCAAGAGCCAGTGCCAGCCGCAGCTGCGCCCGGGCGCCTCGGCTTGTGGCCCAGCAACTATAATACTCGGTGCTGCCCTACAAGTGCAAGTGTGTGGAATTCTTTCTGTGCATTCGCGATGAAACTAAGTTCTGCTTCCTTCCACCTCAAATGTTAGCAGGATTGCCGAGCTATAGAGGCTGGGAGCTGTAGAGGCTCATTGATTCTATGCAGGTACTTAAAAGTAGGCTTATGCGTCTGGTTTTAAGTGTCAATGTCTAGAGAGAGCAGGAAAAATGGATGTTACAAAAACTTATTCGTGTTAACCATTAAGTATGGGACTTGTGCTGTGTGAACTCAGTGCACAGAGATGCTGTTATGCTACAGAGTTGGCTGTTTTTCACATGTTTCTTTGTAATCGCTTGCCCAGGAGCCAGATGCTTTTGCTGCCCTAGGTACCAGCTATTATGAGTGCTAATTACTGGCTTATTAGCTGGCTGTCTTACCATAACTAGCATCTCTCCTCAGCTGCGTGTGTCGTAACCGGCCGTCCTTGCGCAGGCTGCCCACGATGATGGTGACGCAGGAGAGGAACAGCACGAGCCCGATCACCACCCCGGCCACCAGCAACGGGGCCACGAGCAGGCTGGCGTCGCTGCCGTGTTCGCTGTAGCTGGGGAACTCGCTGGCGGGGCCGCTCTGGTTGAGGTGCACTTCTGTGTGCAGAGAGAGCAGGAGTCAGGCAGAAATCAAAGGAATGCACACAACGAATGCACTTTGCTACGGACATCCAACTTATGGAGCTGTTGATAACTGACTCTGAGCAGTGGTTCCCATGTTACCTGTGGAATATCCTGGAAGAGTCAACCATCCAGGGATGAATATGAATATGAAAATGAACATGAAAAGTAGATTCCTTTGTTCTGCTAGTGGGCAATGTTGTTACTAGGTATGAAAACTAAGGAGACCCTCTGTCGCCTGCGCAACTCTCCCATCAGCTCAGGTCCTCTCTGGACTCTTCTATGAGCAAAGTGAGGGGTAGGGAAAAGGCCCTTCCTGGCTCCCCAGTTCATAGATCCCAGCGAGGCATTTGGTGCAAGTGCTGCCAACCATCTGGTTCTCTTCTTGTTGACTGCTTCATTATCCTTACAAGATTACATTTACTTCATTTCTATGTAACTTCTTCTTGTGCCTGCTAAAATAGGTTTTAGTGAGCCTACAGAATAAAGATTTTAAAAACTGCTGAGCCTAACAATGAATCTGAGCATAACTGTCCATCTGGAGTGCCTGGAGAAAATGTGTTTCAGTTGTTGGAGTCAGGGGCTCTTTTTGATATTCCTAAGGTTAGCAGGTTAGCCACTAATACCTGGAGATGGCCAGGTGTTCCTCATGATACGGGATAAATGTGGCAAGTGATTAGCGAAAGCAAGCTGGTATCCTTGTAGCAGTTAATGAGAGCTTACAGAAATGAGTAGCCTGTACAAACGTGTGTCATAGCACGTGAGGAGATGGGCAGGTGGCGTCTAGTCACATGTGTCTTCATAGAAAAATGTCCCTTTTTGTGATGTGCACAGAGATCTGGAATCTACCTTGTTAACAGGCAAGAAACTTTAAAGATAATGGACACAAACATCCTGTAGCTTTAAAAGTTGCATTTGAGAGAATGCCAGTCAGACTGATGCCACCTGGCAGTTAAGAAATCCCTTAAAATGAACAGAGTGGGGTTTTTAGGCCCTGGATTTTTATCTAAGGCATGGCCTTTATTAGGCAGAAGTAACAGTGCTTTTGGCCTTAACATCTTAAATAAATCTTTGCAATAAAAGGACCACACAATGACTATTCTTACTCATTGGAGAAAATCCCTAGGGATTTTCTTTATTTACTTTTTAAAGTAACTTATCTATTTTTGTTTCAATCCAACTGTTCAGTACAGTCTTTTTATAAGACCCAGAGTTAACAACAGGCTATGAGAGTTTGGATGCTCAGAAAAAATCACCAAAATGGATACAAACTTGACTTCTAGAAGTAAATGCTATTAAAAACATGGGGGAGTTACTGGAGATAGAATTAAAGTAAGAGGAAGATTCCAATATCTAGCTGAACCCAGTATCTAGCAGAGACAAGATACATTGCAATATTGTCCCTATTACAAGGAACAATGTTAATCGCTCTCCTTACTCCAACTTACTAATTGACGAACTGCTTTTGTGGGTGTTATTTTGAATGTGACACTGACGTCCTGCTGGGGAAAGGCTCAAGTGACTATTGACTACAGAATAAGGCTTCCAAGTTCTTCATTTGGGAAACCTTTCTAGGAAGTTTTTCATATTACTTTGTGCAAAGGAATGTCATATAATTTTTTTCTTATCCAAATACCTCTTCTGTTGATAAACTATACATTTCTGTGCATAAAAATGCTTTGATTTTTCATTCAGAGTAGAAGTCTTCAAAAATTTATGTAAAGTCCGTAAATATAGCAGCAATAGCAGAGTGTTACCTTTCCCTTGAGATAAGTTGCATTTTTTTCATGGTATTTCATGCTGTAACAATGCATGAGTATATATGAGTAACCTACATATTCTTTTAAATATACATTATATTTGATGAACAAGACATTGCTTTTATTTCAGTCACTAACCAAACATGGCATCAATGGAACATACTGATAATTGCAGCCGTGAATACAATGTAAAGGGACATATGGCAGAACTAACACTAAATTCAGAATGAAAGCACTGATGGATAATTGCCAACACTGTTCATTCAGTGTTAGATAATAAATTATCCATTGGCAAAATCCCTTAGATATCATGTTATATTATTTTACACAGTGCTTTTCCCATCTCAGCAGGCCAACTTTTAAAGCAAGTCGTGGTGTTGGAGGAGGCCCCTCTCGGCACGTGCTGCTGTTTCTTCTTCTCCTGCCTGTGTCTATGAGGGGGGACTTGTTAGTGCTAGTTAGTCCAATTTTTTTCTCCAAGTTTAAAAGCTCCATATCAGAGAGAGATGGCAATTTGTTTTATCCCTGGGGAGGAAGGGAGGACGTGAAGTGGTTTTGTTTCCCAGACTCAGCTTTGCATGAACAGCCCATCAGAGTGCGGGTGTGTGGGACTGGAAGGATGGTGAATCCCCTGTATGCCCTGATAGGTGTGAGCTGTCTGGAGTTCATGATCCGTCACCTCTTGTTATCTTAAAACACGCTAAATTACAAAACTATACAGACCTGGCAATGTGACCAGAGGGAAGCTCAGTATAGGGCAGTTACTGCCATAGCACGTTTTGCTTTTGGAGGATCACGACAAGGTATCTCGCACTCTGGAGCAGTATAAAACATTTTCTGGGTCCCCTGTTTTCCCCCGGCTGAGGCTGTCTGTGGATGTGCAGCCTGTGACCAAGGGGCTGAGGGGCTGCCGTGAGGCCTGTGCACAGGCCGAGTCCGTGGAACCAGTGAAGATTCTGTTGCTCTGCCTTTATAAATGGGCTCTGTTGAGAGATGACCTAGTCTGGGCGAGAGTGACGGGCTGCGCTCCCTGCGCCCCCCTGTTCTGCTCCCCTGGGAATGAGCCCCGGGCCCTGGGCTGCTCCTTCCCGAGGGCCCTGGCAGCAGCTCGCCGGGGGAGCAGGGTCGGTGCATTACGGAAACAAGTGGAAAACGGGGTTTGGATCCCAGGTGGGAGCCTGCATGGTGTCACTGCAGCGAGGGGGAAAGGATATGCTTAAAGGCATTGAATGTGAAGGCCCCAAAGGGGCCAAATCTCGCAAACAAACCCAAAAGAGATATCCGTGACCCCCCCAACCCCAATAGCCCCCTGCTGCATTCGGGGCTATTCCACCTGGGTTGTGAGGGAGGCTGGAAGCTCTGGCTTATCCTGGATTAATGGCAAGGTGTTGTGTGTCTGTGAACAGGGACTTACCTTGGTTATTCCAAGTATAAATCATGAGCAACTCGAGATCTAAATCCTGTCATAAATTTTTGATTTATAGTTATGCTTTGTTCCTCCTTTGTGTCTTGTGCAAACAACCTGCCATTTTAAAATATAATGGCAATTTAACATGCCTTGAGCATCTCCCCCTCTGCCCCAAGCCTTTCTAATCCCTTCCTGTAGTGAAACAATGTCTGAAAATTCAGTGGTTTTGTGAAAGATCATGTAAGAAAAGTTCTGCCAATCAGGGGCCTGATATAACTTTGCTTTTTCATGGAAGAAATATAAATGTCCTACTACAAAAGCATATTTCCTCTCTTACAGGTCCTGAGATGGCTGTTGAGTATTTTGTTGGCTTTGTTTTTTTGGTGTTACTTGTTATCTGTGGAATGCCACTTGCTTGGAATCTGCTCCTGATTTCCCTGGTTATGATCCTTCCCTGGTCTCACTTGATGAAAAAAATGGAGCCCAATGCACTTTTTGTTGTAAAGAGAGAAAAACTCTGTGCCTTCATCTGTGTGTGTTCTCACAACTTCATCCCCTTGCTGCTGCTGAGAACCTGCTAACCTGGGCTGGAGGGAAGCTCCTCTGCTAGGATGGCCCTTAGTTTGACAGCAACAAGTGGATACATTTTGCTGTCAGTTGCTGCAATTGCGACACTTAAACACTTCCTAGAATTGGATGTTCATTTTTGGTTTTAAATTTGAGGTAAAAATCGCTACGAGTTACTAGTCCTGCCTAGCTACTATTGCTGTGGGACATACTTCAGCATTGCATAATCCAAGCTCATATCCGTGCCGTTAATGGGACAGGACCCTTAAGTTCAGTTTAAGTTTTTCTACAACCTAACATTGCCTCTTCGCTCTATCTCTACATATAGCTGTTCAAATAGCAATTAAAAAATTGCGCTGAGAAATAGTGAAGAATCAATACCTTATTCAGAAGCTGAGACTGCGTGGTAGGTACATTGCAGTTTTATCTGATGTGCTCGGTTTTAAGTGAATTTGGAGCGCGCTTACGGGTACAAAAGCTGCCCGTGACCTTGAGAAGCTCATCCCAGGCAGAGGGTGGCCTCTCCTCCGAGATACCCGGCTCTGCCTTTTATCATGTCTGCCAGCTATCAGATAATGACTTTTCTCTTCTTGCATTGACATCCTTATTATAGAGGCAGAATGAATAAGATTGGATCACCAGCAGCCTGCAAATTGAGAATGTCAGGAGCACAGAGCACGGGGCTGCACAAGGGCTTGGAAAATAAATCTTTGCAGATGCTGTGGCTTTAGGGCATTATGTTGATGTCGCAGCAGCATATATAGGTCCTGTTTCAAATTAACAGGAAAAATCTTCCAATTTTCAGATCCATGGTCTATTTTATCAACATGATAAATACCACTGCAGGGAAACAAATCACTCTGTAGCAGCCCACCTTGTAATGGACAGTATATTTCTTCCCCCATATACAGACAACTTCCTCTCATATACAAACAACTTTGAACAAATACAGTTTTATAAACAGGACCTGAATCTGTTACCTTTTTTTTTGAGAAGCTCTCTATTAGGTCTTAGCAATAAGTATGGTGAGAATTCTATTTCACCAGTTAATTTCATAAGCTAAAATCCAACTTAGGTCAGCAGAGCCTTGACCAGGGCAAAAGCAGTAATTTTTATGTTGTGAGAAATTCTGATATTTTGGCACATGACCTTTTCATTCTGAAACTGAAGGGGGAATAGCTATATATATACGTGTGTGTGTGTGTATATATACACACATATAAAATGAGTTGGCAAGTTTTGAAGAACTATCACTGGAAAATAGTTCTGTATTTTACTTGAGCAGTGTGTCTGCTTGAGCTGTGAGTGGCTGTGTCGTGTCATGTCTTTAAGAGGATGTCCTCTCATCTGAACTGTATCTAATGCTACCTAATGAGGCAGCCGTAGAGCAGACAGCAACAAAAGGAAGATGCAGCCCAGCCAGGAAGCCTAATGTGGATGGGGATAAACATGTCCCCACACATGAACACACACACAGAAAAGCCACAAGCCAAAACCTTCACAAGGTCCCGAGATCAAACCCTTAACTGGAATTGCAGGAATTGTATCCACGCCGTACTAGAATGCTTGTGGTTATGTGCTGTTTCTTATATAGCACAGCTCCTATAGAAGCTATCCTATTTCTTATTCCACCCTTCCCATCAGTCTTGAATAATAGTAATCCACTGGGAAAAATGTAAAGAAATGACTGATGTACACTATTTATAGAAAATAGTGACAACAAAAGAAACATTCAGCTAGCTACTTACTGAAGAGGCTTGGCACCAAGATAGAAATATGTTAAGAAATGCTGGAATCCAAAGATCTTTCTTTAAGCTTGTGATATGTCTCCCTGCGCCTTCCTTTTACGGGGACATGGCATTTCTGTAATAAGTGTAATTATTTTGCAGCGTTATTATGCAGTACTATATGAATGA